GTGAGCTAGTTTCTAGAATTATCCATCCGTTGGTTAGAAGCTTAGACACATGTCCTGCACTACGCGCAACAGCAATGGATACTTTATGCGCATTGGTTATCCAGCTTGGTAGAAAATACACGGACTTTATACCTTTAGTGCAGAAAGTTATAGTAAAGCATAAAATACAACATCAAAACTACGAGCTTCTGCTAACGAAAATTCAATCTACTACAACATTAGGAGTGGATGAAGGCTTACAAAGTACTCGAAGGAAACCGAGAAATAATAACCAAGAGGTAAAATATCTATAAAATGAATTCACTTATTACTAAGTTTGCATATATTTGTTGAATTAAATACAATTTAAATTGACAGGCTCGCATAGTATTCGCGGATACTTCGCAGTCTATACGCAAGCTGTTTGTGAACGCGCACAATTTGAAAGTGGCGTGGACAGTCAGCAGCCGCGTGTCCAAAGACGACTGGCTGGAGTGGCTGCGTCGCTTCAGTATAGGACTCCTTACCGAATCTCATAGTCCTGCTCTTAGGTACTATTGAATTACTGGTGTAATACAACTATTTGTTTAAATCTTTAGCTCTTGTGAAGATTCATAAATGTGATTCTACGTAATCGGTTCGAGTTGTTTGGACTCGTGTTACCCCAATTTTAGGCGACATCATTCGTCTTTATTTAAAGAAACTATATTGATTTATTACAGAGCATGTTTAGCGTTAGCTCACAACTACTCCCAACTGCTTCGAGATCTCTTCAACGCGGCGTTTGTATCGTGCTGGACTGAGTTAGAGGCACCAGCCCGGGCTGATCTGTCCAGTGCTCTGGAACAAGCGCTGACAGCGCCCGATGCACCAGAACTTGCGCATACCGTGCTGAACCTCGCAGAATTTATGGAGCACTGTGAGGGAGGAGCCTTACCCATAACGACCAGTACGCTCGGCGAACGTGCTATGCGCTGTAGGGCGTATGCCAAAGCTCTTCATTATAAGGTACGGGCGAAAAATATTGATAATTTTACTTTGGTGTTATTGATTTTTACGTTTTTAGGCTTCTGTACCTCGAAAGGAATAAAACGAAATCCTTATAGGATCACTTTGTTCTCCGTCCGTCTTTCTGTCAAGACCCTTTTTTCTATTTGTATGAGAAATTTATTACGTGTTTATTTTTTAGGAGGAAGAATTCAGAAGTGGCGCTACATCTCAAGTAGTAGAAGCCCTTATACATATAAATAATAAATTACAACAGAAAGAAGCTGCCGAGGGCTTGTTGGAGAGGGTGATGGCACAGCGTGAAGCGGGCGACGCAGACCTGCAGGTCCAGATACGATGGTATGAGAAATTACATAATTGGGAGAAAGCACTAAATTTGTATGACGATGCGTTAACCACTGACCCCGAGAATATGGAAGCGTGTTTGGGCGAATTGAGATGTTTCGAAGCCCTGGGCGAATGGGTCAAGTTATACACGACCGTCTCCAAGCAATGGCCCAATATGTGCGACGACGAAAAGTTCCAAGCGGCCAAGCTTGCCGCCGCCGCCTCTTGGGGAATGAGCGAATGGGAGTCTATGGCGAACTACGTCAGCTTTCTTCCAGAAAACACTCAAGACGGTGCCTTCTACAGAGCAGTTCTAAATATTCATAAAGGCGATTACAATGTATCAAAATTGTATATCGACCAAGCTAGAACGTTGTTAGACTCAGAACTAACAGCCGTAGCTGGTGAGAGCTACCAGCGGGCGTATGGTGCTTTAGTCAGTGCTCAACTTCTTGCCGAATTAGAAGAAGTTATCAATTATAAATTGGTAGTGGAAAGAAGGGAATCTATAAGACAGGCGTGGTGGACAAGACTTCAAGGCGGTCAGAGATTAGTTGAAGATTGGCGCAAGATCCTACAAGTGCGTAGCTTGGTGTTGACGCCTCAAGAAGATATGGCGACGTGGCTCAAATTTGCCTCGCTTTGTAGAAAGAGTGGGGCTCCGAGACAAGCTCATAGGACTTTGGTGATGTTGTTGGGCATAGATCCGAGTAAGAATCGCGATTTGCCGTTGCCCACGCACGAGCCTAGATTGACACTAGCATATGCAAAACATTTATGGGTAGCTGGAGACAAACAGTTAGCTTACGACCAACTGCAACGCTACGTCAATACGGTTGAAACGGGCGATGCCGAACATTGCAGGCTTTTAGCTCGTTGTCATCTAAAACTTGGATCTTGGTGCGAATCACTCTTGGGCATAAATGAGCTCTCTATCCCAGAAATACTACGCAATTATGCGGCGGCGACCAATCTATCCTCTGATTGGTACAAAGCTTGGCACGCCTGGGCTTATATGAATTTTGAAACTGTTCTATTCTACAAACATCAAGAAACTAATAATGATAATTCTGAAACCAAAAAGACAACTCCGGAGTTTATACAACAGCATACTGTTCCAGCCGTGGAGGGTTTCTTCAAATCTATCAATCTATCACACGGAAGTTCGTTGCAAGATACATTGCGTTTACTAACATTGTGGTTCGATTACGGACACCATCCTGCCGTTCACGAGGCTTTGGTAGAAGGGATTAGGACTATCGAAATAAATGTATGGCTTCAAGTGATCCCGCAGTTAATTGCGCGGATAGATACACCTAGAGCTTTAGTTGGTAAATTAATTCACTCCCTATTAATTGATATCGGCAAGTCTCATCCGCAAGCATTGGTGTACCCACTCACAGTAGCTTCTAAATCATCTTTCGTGGCTCGAAAGAACGCCGCGAATCAAGTTTTAAAATCAATGTGTACTCATTCAAGTAATTTAGTGAATCAGGCAGCCATGATTTCCGAGGAGCTTATCAGAGTGGCTATACTCTGGCACGAACAGTGGCACGAGGCTCTGGAGGAAGCTTCTAGATTATATTTCAGTGAACATGATGTCAAGGCAATGTTCAAGACTTTGGAACCACTGCATGCGATGCTCGAGAGAGGTCCGAATACATCCAAAGAGGCGTCCTTCACTCAGGCTTACGGAAGAGATCTGAATGAGGCACAAGAATGGTGCAACCGATACAAGGTATTTACCAAAAATAACCTTATTATACTCACAATCGATGTAGATCATTGGTCCTACGTAGATAATAATACGTTTGTTTGATAGGAATCAGGTCAGGTGCGCGACTTGAACCAGGCTTGGGACCTGTACTACCATGTGTTCCGGCGCATCAGCCGACAACTACCACAGTTGACCACGTTGGAGCTGCAGTACGTCAGCCCACGTCTACTCAGCTGTCGTGAACTCGAGCTGGCCGTCCCCGGCTCCTATGTGCCCGACTCGGATCTTATCCGTATTGCCCATATACAGAGTAGCTTGCAGGTCAGTGCTGATTAATTCTCAGTTTAGTTGTATTACATGAATCATTTTTTGACGCTCCTAATTTCAAATGTAACAATTTCTAGGTGATAACATCAAAACAAAGACCTCGTCGGCTCTGTATTCGTGGCTCGAACGGCAAAGACTACATGTTCTTGTTGAAAGGACACGAGGATTTACGTCAGGATGAACGGGTGATGCAGCTCTTTGGTCTAGTCAATACGTTACTTCAAGCAGACCCTGACACTTTCCGAAGAGATTTGGCCATACAACGATACGCAGTTATACCACTGTCGACTAACTCGGGACTTATCGGTTGGGTACCTCACTGCGACACCTTACATTCTCTGATCAGAGATTACAGAGATAAAAGAAAAATTTTACTGAACATAGAGCATAGAATAATGCAAAGAATGGCTTCCGATTTAGAAAAGTTAATGCTAATGCAAAAGGTAAGTGGATTATGTTTGTTCTATGGATATATCTAGCTTCCGAAAGATGGCGCTGCAATCAATACTTAATTGAAAATGTTCTCAGTCGTTGGTTGTGAGAGTAGTTTATGTGACTCTATTTTAATTAAGATACATATGACTACAAGACAATATGCGAAATACATTTTTTTTCAGGTTGAAGTATTCGAACATGCTCTAGAGCACACGGCAGGTGATGATTTAGCCAAATTACTCTGGCTGAAGAGTCCCTCATCTGAAGTGTGGTTCGAGCGACGCACCAACTACACGCGGTCGCTGGCGGTGATGAGCATGGTGGGATACATCCTCGGTCTCGGTGACAGGCACCCCTCCAATATCATGCTGGATAGAGTCACCGGAAAGTTCCTGCATATTGACTTTGGTGACTGCTTCGAAGTGGCAGTCACCAGAGAAAAGTTCCCAGAGAAGATACCATTCAGGTTGACTAGAATGCTAATCAATGCTATGGAGGTAGGGTACATTCGAATTTTGAAATCTATCATTTTTTTTATTATAAAATTTTAAATCGTATTTTTTTTAAAGGTAACTGGTATTGAAGGTACGTATCGTAGAACCTGCGAATCAGTAATGGAAGTGCTGCACAGACACAAGGACAGTGTGATGGCGGTGCTCGAGGCATTTGTATATGATCCACTCCTCAACTGGCGGCTGATAGACGCCGGGAGACGTTCCAGAGGCGACGGTGATGCATCCGAAGTACCCACATCACCGATAACATTCAAAACAAGACCACAAATCGGAGTAAACGATACTCTAGACCAGCCAGCGGAGACTAATCTCAATAAAAGAGCCTTAGTCATAGTTAATCGAGTTAGGGACAAACTGACAGGTCGAGATTTTACTCATATAGATGATTTATCTTGCATTTCAGTACAGAAACAAGTTGAACTGTTGATACAACAGGCAACTAGTAATGAAAATCTCTGCCAATGTTATGTTGGATGGTGTCCATTCTGGTAAAATAAATCCAATGATTTGCTGAATACATACCGATATATTTGACATGTTAAATATTTTATTGAAATTTGCTTTTATATTCATTTCGTCTATTTATTGTAAAATTAATGCTTTCGTTTAACTCAATCTTAATTTGTTGATCGGCTAATGCATAAATGAAACAGCGACTATTGTAAAACAGTCCTAGATATTTTTATTTCTTTAAACTGTGTGAATTTATCATCTCCTTGGTCTTTTCCTATGTGTTGTCTGCCCAAATTCTGTAAAATATTTACCTAAAATATATAAGCAGATTTTGATAATTAAATACAAGATCATTTTATATACTTATGCATTTTATATATGCAATTATATAAATAATTTTTGATTATAAATATATGAAGCATTGACAAACTGCCAAAGAAATCACGAATGGGTGTTAAGTTCATAATTATATTACTTTTGCTTATGTTTTTATTATCTGTTTAGTATATAAACATAAATAATTCCTAATGTAAACACGGAAACCAGACATTTTCCTTTATATATCAATAAAAAAATCATGTTATTAGATTTTTTTTATATTTTTTACTAACAGAGACATCTTTGTAAGTCTTATCGGGAGTTAGCGCTGTCATATTTTCTCGTAGTTTTTTCTCTCTTCCTGAAAGAAAGAGACCACAATACGTAGTGCTTTTTCATAATTACGCGCGTCGGCAATATTTCAAACATATGGTGTATGTTAACCATTAAGGGGCGCATATAGGCAGTGTGAATTTACAACAAATTGTTTAAATTGGGACTGTTGTATAAAAATATCTATGAATAAGATGTTACAATTCGTAGATGAATGTTTAATATAATCTTGATATTAAAACCTAATTGTTGCTATGTGTAAATTAAGAACGCTAATTGCGATCCGATGCGAGCGATTGTATGGAACTGACGCGCGACAATTACGTGACTTATCGAAAGTACTTGTCAATTCCATACATTATTGAAGTTCGCTATGGTATCGCTTCGTAGCGAATACACTTTGTTTAACCCCCCTGTAGGGAATCCGTTTACCTCGTCTGTTTGCAGTCCCGAAATACTTGTTTAGAAAAAATTGTTGTCCCTCTTATTCTCTTTAAAAAATGTGAGATAGCAAGACATTTTGCAGAGATGTTAGTGTAGTGGTACCAACATTATCAAATTTTCATATGGACGAAAGATCGAAATTTTTTGTTAGATTTTTGTGATTAAAATTCTCGTGATAATTGTATTGTAATCGATTTAAGTTTAGCATTTCTGTATAGGTAAGCCGTACCTATTTTGATTTATAGCAACTTATTTTTTCTTTAATAAAAAAATCTTGGAATTAATTTTTTTTTATATTTCCATCACATTTGAAGGTCAGATACCGCTCTAAAATTAACGATCCCATGTTCCAATATTTTCTCAAGTTTCAGGATTTGAACAGTCCCAAGTTTTAAGACATAACTGGTATCCTGGAATGTTTCAGATCGAGAAAAATGCTGATTTAATGCACATTAATTCAATTAACATCAAATTGTAATGGAACTTAAATAGGTATTCAAGATATAGACCGATAATTTATTAAACGGTAAATAGAATCTTGTTCATTACCTCGTTACCTTGACTTTCACGTACATGTGCAATATAAGTATTTTCCAGGTAATTCTCTCAATGTCTACAGTTAAAGCACAAGGAGAAGTAGGGCTGTCACCCTAAGTTGTTTTTTTTTGCCGCCAGAATTCTATTTTATATTATTTAAAAGTTGGCAGCTCTAAATTTAAAAGAGCATTCTCTTTATTGATGTTAGTGGACTTTTTTTATTAATCAAATGTATTGTAATTTTACGCGATAATAATTATGTTCAAACAATTTCAAAATAAATTATACCTACAAAATCACGCTTGTATCATATTTTTTAAGAATTTTCACCTGCATAGTAAATTTATTTTATAATCAAATGTTACATATTAATAAGAGATATAACTAAAAAGTTGTTTTAAGTAAAGTTTTAATTTCATTTGTTGCTATCCGATTGTAGCGATGTTATCTCAATGTTAATTTATTTGATAACTAATGTTCTAGCAATTTTTTTTTATCAAAACACGACCATTGTTTCATGTCCCTTTGATAAATAAATAGATATGTGAAACAATTTTCGATTACAATAACGTTTAAGGTCAATTTTTTTCATTCAAATTTTACATTATACTAAAAACGTTATTGAATAAATCGGTTTTTAAATCTTATTTGAGTTTATAAAGTTACATACTGTGTACAGTTTTATGATTATCATTCAATTATAATACGACGGCCTTCACTTAAACTCGCAATTGAGCGTAGCGTGAAACAACAAAAAAAATGTGATACAATTGTTCCAGCGGCACTTTCAAACGGCAGTCACATCACAAGGGACGTTCAATCATAAAGCAAGATATAATCAACGATCGTTTGCTTTAATCAGTTGGACGCTGACCGCTCCCAATATCGCACGGCCCCGTACTTTCACGATATCATATTACGAAACATTCGTGGCCTTATGGATAATTATGAAATTATCGACTTTAAAACTTTAAGTAAGTACTATATATATTCAATATTTTTATGACAAACTTATTACTTTTATATTCCTAGACAAAATATGAATTAGATATGTTAAGAATTTAACAAAGATAACTTTTCAAAATTATAATCACACGAAATGCAATGATCTTGAGCACAATTCTATTTTTGCACATACAAATACGCGACGACCTAATTTTTGTGCGACGTCGTAAATAAATGTGTTTAGCATAAACATAAACGTGAACACACAAATCGCTTTATTCAAGTTATCATGAACGAATAGAAACATCATTCATTAAATCATAATCGAACATAAATTTAATCATTATCATGTTAACGATTAATTTAGATTAAACCTTACTTCATATAATATTGTAACTAAATCAAATGCAAAATAAGAAAATGAACCTTACTTTTAATCCATTACGTATATCAACTAATTATCTTGTTTTATTATATTTCCAGATGAAACAGTACAAGATTTAATACGGCAAGCTACGAAAGTCCGAAAATTTGCATACTGTCCATACTCGAACTTCGCAGTGGGCGCTGCGATATTAACAGAAAAGGACTCTAAAGTGTACACAGGCTGTAATATAGAGAGTGCTACGTTTTCTCCATGCATATGCGCTGAAAGGGCAGCAATACCGAAAGCTATATGCGATGGTTACTTGAAGATTAAAATAGTGGCAGTCGTCGCACACCAGAAAAGCGGTTTCACTGCGCCGTGCGGTGTCTGCAGACAGACATTAAGCGAGTTTCGAAGCAGTGACGGTGACATAGAAATATACTTAAGCAAGCCCGCAATGGACAAAGTATTGCGTACTAAGTTATCCAAGTTATTACCGCTCGCGTTTGTAAGTTACATCACAGACAATGTCATTGAGGATAATGATAATAGTTAGCTATAAAATATATGTAAAATAACTAGTACTAGGAAAATAATAAATGACAAATAAGACGGTCTTAATTAATTCCATATTTGGTTATAAATTATACGTATTTTTAATATAAAATTCTTAGTCCAAAATACCAAGTGAGTTTAAATCGACCCGTAACTTTCACTCTTACGGAATATCTACATTACGTGTAGGCAGTGCTGATTTTAACGAGAACATTACAGCGCCTGCTTTTTAACATGTCTCTGAGGGTTCAAGATGGTTACCTGAGAGTGTGTAAATTACAGATCTGTGTCGTCTCTTTCTGCCCAGCATCATGGACGGTCGCCCAACCGCGCACTACCATCACTGAATAGGTAAAAATTAAAAAAAAAACTTAAAAAACCAGACTAAATATAGGAAGATTTTTTGAAGTTATATTTATTGAAGCAATGAAAACATACCTTTATGCAATTATTTATTATTCCATTGTGTCCCACGGTCACGTCTTTTTGACAACAAGTATTGTCTTCGCGGGGAAGTCCTGTTATCGAATATATTGTGGGGTATAGTCATTCTACCTGCAATTATTGATGCAAGGGTGACAGAAATATTATTGTTTCAAAATAAACGCACTATTCAACAATCAATAGAAATGAGAACGAGATAAAGGTTAAATTGTACCTCCTTATCTAAATAACGCCAAATATTCTGGGAATCAGTAATTGAGATCCGACCTCGTTAGCAATTGATTCATTGCCGCTGCGAATCTTGATGCTTTGGAGTAAATGTTATTTGACAAATGTATCTTACTTTTTCCATTTATGAAATCCTGCAGTGCGACTTCATCTCTGCAACTATGTACTTTTCCTAATAAGAGTGGTTTATATTATGCTTAACAAAAAGACAATATTAATATTTTTAACATCGTTTAATACCATTTTACAAACTCACCACTCGTAGTACCCATGTTTTCAGTCGAAGGTTTTTTTCATAAAATCCTGAAGGATGTGGTGACTTATTTTTCGACCGTAGAAACTTACGGTAACAATGCTTTTACTTATTTATTGTATTAAAATGTAAATAATAACACTGACCTCTAATAAATGGACGGGCTATAAACCGTGATGTTTTGTGCTTGTTTGATTTTCGCCATTTTGGCGCTGATAGTTACGGTTGCTAGTGGCGAGGATTGGAACTAATAATAGAAATTAAGCAAAACTGTCATTTCCATTTATAGAGATCAGTGAAACAATATTATTAATTGTTTTTGGTTTATCGTTTTTACCAAAAAAGATAGGTTAACAGTAATTACATACATAATATTCTAAGTATTATATATAGTAGAATAACATAAAGAGTTACAAATAAATACATTATGTACTATGTTATATGTACAATATTTTAATAGAATAGCAACTACAAACATGGGTTAGAAAAGCAAAATTTGCTTTATATTTGCAGAATCAAGTCTGAACTTAAACAAAATGTTTCGTTAAAACATAAAAACTATAAACCAGTCAACCGTATATACGATATAAGAATCAATACCGTAGGTAAAGATAATTTTAGTTTTTAGCAATATTAGAAAACATTATAATGTATATAAACATGCTTCAAAAGCAAATATATACAATGTCTTATATACTTGGTTAGATTACCAAAACGGACACCATCCAATATAACATTGACATAAATTCTCATTATTAGTTGCAATTTTAATCAACATATCGACTTGTTTCGGTACACTCACAACCGCTTCTATTTGTGGGAAGTCCCGTCCTGTCAGTTTGTCCCTAATACGATTCAATATGGAGAGAGCTCGCTTATTAAGACTCGCTTCTGGTGGTATTTCTATTGATTCGTAATGCAAATGGTTTCTACTCCTGCTGGGGAGCGAATACGAGTCGTCGATGTCTGATGAGAAGGTGGATTCCGTGATGGAATGACGATCGTTGTCTATCAGCCGCCAGTTGAGGAGTGGATCGTATACAAAAGCCTCGAGCACCGCCATCACACTGTCGCGATGTTTGTGCAACACGTGCATCACTGACTCGCATGTAAAACGATATGTGCCCTCGATACCGGTCACCTAGAAAAACATAGACTTAAAATATTATTTATATAACATTGCCTGTATTAACCTTGTATTCGTAGTCAACCGGTAGTATAAATTATATAAAAAAAATCCAAATAAGCCTTACCTCCATAGCATTAATCAACATTCGAGTCAATCTAAACGGTATTTTTTCGGGAAATTTCTCCCTAGTTTGAGTGACTTCGAAGCAGTCTCCGAAATCTATATGCAGGACTTTTCCTGAGACTCTGTGCAGCATGATGTTAGAGGGATGCCTGTCTCCGAGGCCGAGGATGTATCCCACCATGCTCATGACGGCCAGCGACCGCGTGTAGTTGGTGCGTCGCTCGAACCACGCCTCCGCTGACGGACTCTTCAGCCAGAGAAGTCTTGCCAAATCATTCCCGGGAGTTTGCGATAGTGTGTACTCGAATATTTCCACCTGAGAAGAAAACCGATGCATATTAAAAAAAATACTTAAATTTAAATCTTACTTCTTACTAATATTACAAATGCGAAATTTTAGATGGATAAATGGATGTTTGTTTGAAGGTATTACCAGAACAACTGAAAGGATCCAACTAAAATTTGACATAGATGTAAACATAGTCTACTAATTAAGTGTTTTTGTAATTCCACGCAGACGGGGTCGCGGACTACAGCTAGTTATATTTAAAATTGAGAACAACGCCATCTAGTCACTGACCTTGTGTTTCAACATAAGCTTCTGATAATCAGATGCCATTCGTTGCATGATCTGTTGCTCCGTGTTCAGAGCTAGTTTATTAGATTTCTTATCTCTGTAATCGCTGATAAGATTGTAGAGTGTATCGCACTGGGGTACCCAGCCTATGAGGCCGGAGTTAGGGGATAGGGGTATGACCGCATACCGCTGTATTGCTAGGTCGTGGCGGTAGGTATTAGTGTCTGACTGTAGCAGGGTATTGACCAGTCCGAATAGTTGCATAACCCGCTCATCCTGCCTCAGATCCTCGTGACCTTTGAGTAGGAACATGTACTCTTTGCCATCAGATCCTTGGATTGTAAGACGACGCGGTCTTTGCTTCGATTTGATCACCTGGGAAGAACAGTTAATAGTAAGTAACAGACGAAAACTATATTTAAACAAATTGAATATGATTCTATGAAAAAGTTGCCCGATCTTAACAGCATACGTATGCTTCTGTAGAAAATACTATAAAGAAGTAACGCACCTGCAATTGGCTTTTAATATGTGATATCCTGATAACATTCTGATCTGGCACGTATGAGCCGGGGACTGCGAGCTCAAAGTCCCTGCAGGCGTGCAGGCGCTCGCTCACGTACTGCAGCTCCAGTGACGTCAGCGAACGGAACTGTGCTGACAGTCGCCGGAACACGTGGTAGTAAAGATCCCAAGCCTCGTTTAGGTAACGCTCCTCGCTCGTCTCCTGGAGGAATAAAAAAAAGGGTCTTGACAGACAGACGGACGGACATGAAAGTAGTAGTAGTATAAGGGTTCCGATTTTTCCTATGAGTTACGGAACCCTAAAAATACGTAAAAATATTAAAGAAAAAAAATAAAATTACAAATCTTATATTGTATCAAACTTCTTCCCACCTTATAAAGTTCGCACCATCTCTGTGCCTCTTGTAAATCTCTTCCATACATTTGTAAGAAAGATACTTCTTTCAATGTTTCCGGAGGTCGTTCCAGCATTGTGTGCATTTTGTCCAGTGTTCTAAACATTCCTCTGTAGTCTTTTTCACTGAAATACAATCTGAAAACGGACAAAAATTAAAAAAAAAACTTTCTAAAAAAGAACCAATATCAACAATTTGTGATAATAAAGGAAAAATAATTACTAATTTAAAATTAGAATGAAATGTATTCTTACCTAGAAGCCTCATCGAGCGCTATAAAGACCTGTTCATGCCACAAAATGGCTACTTTAATCAATTCTTCTGATATCAAAGCCGCATCGTTTACAAGATTCTGAGAGTGACTGCACATCGTTTTCAATATATAATTGGCGGCAGTTTTTCTCGTAACGAATGAAGATTTCGTGGCTACAGTTAAAGGATAAACTAAAGCCTGAGGATGGGATTTACTAATATCAATTAATAAAATGTGAACTAATTTTGCTACCAAACTTCTCGGTGAATCGATTCTAGCTATAAGCTGAGGTATCACTTGGAGCCATATTTTGATATCAATCTGTCGTATTCCTTCAAATAATGCATCGTATATAGCTGGATGATGGCCGTGGTCGAACCACAAAGTAAGAAGTCTCAAAGTATCTTGAAGGGAATTGCCATTTGCCAAGCTGATAGATTTGAAGAACCCTTCGATAGCTGGTATTGTATGTGTATTTATAAAATCAGCTCTGGACACTTTTTTCTCTCCCGAACCGCCGGCGAGACTGCTTTCAGATATATTATCTTGCTGCTTATAAAAGAGGACCGTTTCGAAGTTCATGCAGGCCCATGCATGACATGCTTTGTACCAATCCGGAGCCAGCATAGTTGCAGCTGAGTAATTTCTTAATATCTCTGGTATAGACAACTCGTTTATTTCCTGCAGCGACTCGCACCAGGAACCCAGCTTCAAGTGACATCGAGCGAGCAGTTTGCAATGATCATCATTTTCAGGTTCGGAGTTATCGACGAATCTTTGCAGTACATCGTAAGCGTAGCGTTTATTTCCTCCCTCCCACAAATTTTTACTATAAGCCAATACGATCCTCGGATCCTGCATTCGAAGTATATCTGGATTCGTGTAGGGATCGCATCCCAAAATGGAAAGAACAATCTTATGGGCTTGGGTTACTGAACCTGTTTTTCGGCACAGGGAAGCAAATTTAAGCCAAGTCTGAAAATCTTCCCGAGGAGTCATAACTAGGCTTCGTATTTGAAGCATCTTCCTCCAGTCTTCGACTAGACGCTGACCACCTTGAAGTCTCGCCCACCAAGTTCTGTGTATAGTACTTCTTCGTTCTTCTACCAGTTTATATGTTACAACTTCCTCAAGTTCCGTCAACAATTGAGCATTGACCAGGGCTCCGTATGACCTTTGGTAACTTTCGCTTAATACCGAAGTCAATTCGCCATCAAGTAAAGTTCTCGCAGCGTCAATATAATGCCTCGACTCCGGCCACTGACCTTCGTGAATTGATAAAATAGCTCTGTACATCGCGCCATCTTGACTGTCTTCTGGAATACAATCGACGTACTTTTTCATAGAGTCCCATTCCTGCAAACCCCACGACGCGGCTGCTGCGATCTTTGCTGATTTCGTTTTAAAATCATCACTCATAGTATCCCATTGATCATTAGTAATGTTGTACACCTTTCTCCATTCCCCCATTGCTTCCAAACACCGCATCATGCCCAATCTCGACTCAGCATCTTGTGGTTCAACTTCTAATTTCTTATCATACAAATCTAATGCCTGCTCCCAATTATGAAGTTTTTCGTACCAACGTACGTGAACATTTAGAGAGCAATCGCCATTCTTCTTTTGCGTAATCACCTTTTCTAATAAGCCATTGGCGGCTTCTTTCTGTTGAAGTTTGTTATTAATATGTATGAGAGCTTCAACAACCTGTGTTGTTGGATTTCGGCGATACTCTTCTTCCTGAAAATTAACCAGTCATCTTATGAAAAATAAATTTTCTACATTGGGAGAATATTCAAAAATTAAAGAGGAATACCTTGTAGTACAATGCTTTAGCGTACGCCCGGCAACTGATTGCGGTGTCTC